TTTAGAGCTAAAGGGATCAAAGGGTAGGAGCAGAAAATGGAAACGGGGAACTGAGTTGAATGAGCACCCATGATCATATTGAATGGAGGAGGAGGCTTGAGTACCAAATGGCCTACTCTTTCCCATATTTTAACATTCTTCAAATTCTTCATTCTTATATTCCACTTCATTTGCCTTCCCTAATACCTGTTGAACTTGGATGCTGGCTTTTTGCAACTTATGCACAGGGACTCCCAAATTCCACTGTGCTGCAGCTTTCCAGTCTTTCTCCATTTAAATAGTATTCAACTTTGTTTTTCCTGCCAAAGGGCATAAGCTCTCATTTTCCCATATTATATTCTAGTAAGTTTTTGCCCACTCACTTAACCAGTGTATATCCTTCTGCATTTGTGTCATCTTCACTACTTGTCTACCCACCTACTTTTGTGTCATCTACAAACTTGGCTATGGTACATCCACATCCCTCATTCAAGTCATTTATATCGTAAATAATTGTGGCTGCAGCATTGATCCCTGTGACACTGCATTAGTCACAGGTTACCACCCTGAACACACGCCTTTATTCTAACTCTGTTTTCTATTAATTAACTAATCCTCTATCTATGCTAATATACTGCCAAGACCATGAGCTCTTACTGTATTAAGTAGTCTAACGTACGGTACCTTATCAAATGCCTCCTAGAAATCCTAATATTACATTTACTGATTCCCATTACCTATCTTGCATTAGAGATCCTCAAAGAATTCTAATAAATTTGTCAGCCTTCCTCTTCACGAAGCCATGCTGACTCTGCTTAATTCTATCATGTTTCTAAATGCTGTGCTATTGCATCCTTTATAATAGACTAACATTTTCCCAGTGACAGATGATAAGCTTACTTCTACACTTTGCTACATTGTACATTTATTTCTTTCAGTCTGATTCTTAACTTCCTTATTTATTCATGGTTGGCTCAGCTCCTTCCTGGAATCCTTCTTCTTTCCTGCGAAAGGTTGAAAACCTTTGCTCTAAATCCAACCTTGCTCCTTTTCTGTTCCCATAACCTTTAGCCTTAACCATCAACCCTTTTTCATTGGAAGGCAACAGATATTTAAACTATCTGGCACCTATATTTTTAGACTTTAACTTACCATCTTCTTACTATCTAAACTCTATCACAACTCCAACTTTTTCCAGCTCTGATGAAAGCTATTCACTTTGCTTCTCTCTCCAGATCTGCTGTCTGATCTGTTTTGGTTCATTAAAGTCCTTACTCAAATCTGGGCAATGAGTGACTCCAGTTCACACCAACTTTTAACTGACCTAACCACCTAGTTATCTCAATTTACCATGGAACCTGGAGTAGGCTACATCCAAAAAAGGGGGAGGCAATGGCCTAGTGGTATTATTGCTGGACTGTTAATCCAGAGACCCAGAAAATGTTCTGGGGACCCGGGTTCGAACCTTGCCACAGCAGATGGTGGAACTTGAATTCAATAAACATCTGGAACCATGAATTCATTGTCAATTGTCGGGTAAAAAAAAAATCCATCTGGTTCACAAATGCCCTTTAGGGAAGGAAACTGCTATCCTTACCTGGTCTGGCCTACGTGTGACTCCAGACCCACAGCAATGTGATTGACTCTTAACTTCCCTCTGGGCAATTAGGGATGGGTAATAAATGCTGCCCACCCAGCAATGTCCTCCTCCTGTGAATAAAAAAAGATTCCTTTTCAAAACTGTTCACCCCCCTCATTTTCTTGAAGCACAGGAGAATTGATTAGTCAATACAGGCATCTCTGAATCCACCTCTTTCCTCTGCAGAATCTATAATACACTAAACTAATGTTTAACAAACATTTACAAGTGCAACAATCAGGAACGTAGGAATACATAAGCAGGATTCCATGCATCAAGCCTTCCCCATCATTCAATACAATAACAGTTATGCTATAATTAATACAGTACAAATAAAAATAATACAATCATTGAATTCAAGGTTCTTATCCCACACTATGCCCATATTCCTTAATGAGACTGGAAAGGGGGGTTTTGCTATAACACATGTTCTGGCAATGCAAATTGGCTATAACGCAACTGACAAATAGGGGAACGCTATTCCTGAGACATGAACTTGTGCTGACTATAATGCGATTCCATTGGTGACCTTATTGTTGATGTTTTTAGAAAGTATTGCAGGAAAAAAATTTGGATTTCAAGATTCGCCTCATCCTGGATAATGCACCAAGCTATGCTCCCACCATTGGTGAGCTTTCTGAAAACATCAAAGTGCTACTTCTACCTCAAACTCTCTCCTTCAACCCATGGACCAGGGTGCAATAGCAGCTTTTAAAGTTTATTATTTAAGGCGCACGGTTAAGAGGCTGATTGCAGCCACTGAGGGGGATAAGGACAGTGTTCTTCAATTTTGGAAGAGCTTTAACATCAAGAATGCAATTGACATTATCGTGAAGGCCTGGGGTGATGTCAAAAGGACTGTTTGCAGAAGCTTCTCCCGGATTTTTTTCAAGATTTTAAAACCTTTCCTTCGTCAGAGGAGCTCCCAAGAATCAAAGAACATTGTGTTGATCTTACAAAGCAAGTTGGATTTGAAGAAGAGAGTGAGGATGATCTACAACAACTTGTTGCTGAGGGAGAAGTGGAAACTGGAGATGAAGATGAAAAAGTCCAGGATGCAGCACCACAACAGCTTTCCACACCTGTTTTGTCTTCTATCATGCAGAATGCTGCAGGGCAGCAGTTCATGGAATAAGATCTTATTTGGCACCCTGTGAACAGCTTCTTCATGAAAGAAGAAAAAGGGCAAAAGCAGCAAAAACTGAATATCTTTTTTAAGCCAACCCCAAGAAACAGCCAGAAGACAATGAACCACAGCCATCCACTTCTGGATTAACTATTTTTGGCCCCAACCCTGCAAATACAACTGCACTTGAAGGTGAGACAACAAGGTGCAGGGCTGGATGAACACAGCAGGCCAAGCAGCATCATAGGAGCAGAGAGGCTGACGTTTCGGGCCTAGACCCTTCATCAGAAAAGGGGGAGGGGAAGGGGGTTCTGAAATAAATAGGGAGAGAGTGGGAGGCGGATAGAAGAGGGATAGAGGAGAGGATAGGTGGAGAGGAAACAAACAGGTCGAAGAGGCGGGGATGGAGCCAGTAAAGGTGAGTGTAGGTAGGGAGTTAGGAAGGGGATAGGTCAGTCCAGGGAGGACGGACAGGTCAAGGGGGCGGGATGAGGTTAGTCGGTAGGAGATCGAGGTGCGGCTTGAGGTGGGAGGAGGGGATAGGTGGGAGGAAGAACAGGTTAGGGAGGCAGGGACGAGCTGGACTGGTTTTGGGATGCGGTGGGGGGAGGGGAGATTTTGAAACTTGTGAAATCCACATTGATACCATTGGGCTGCAGGGTTCCCAAGCGGAATATGAGTTGCTGTTCCTGCAACCTTCGGGTGGCATCGTTGTGGCACTGCAGGAGGCCCAGGATGGACATGTCGTCTGAGGAATGGGAGGGGGAGTTGAAATGGTTCGCGACTGGGAGGTGCAGTTGTTTATTGCGAACCGAGCGTAGGTGTTCTGCAAAGCGGTCCCCGAGTCTCCGCTTGGTTTCCCCGATGTAGAGGTAGCCACACCGGGTACAGCGGATGCAGTATACCACATTGGCAGATGTGCAGGTGAACATCTGCACTTGAAGGTGATAGTGATGGTGATGATGATCCTCAGACCCTGCATTACCAACAGAGCAACCTCAAAACTTCCTTCCCCATCAAGTCATCTTGACATTTCTTCAAAGATAAGGAGTTAAATTTACTTTTATTTGATTACTAGGTATGAATTAAACTTTTATTCAACTGTGCTATCCTCTGTGTTAGGCTTTTGAGTGATTTATTTTTGTTGGTCTGCCCCTAACCTCGCTTTTCCCACAGGTGATGTTGCACAGGAACGCAACTATCGCGTTATAGCAGACTCCCTTGTATTTAGAAATCTCTCTTTCATGCTCAAAGACTGGGCTGTCACAGTCCTGAGGTAGAGATTTCCAAAGATACATGACCCTCTGGAAGTCTGAGCTGACAATTTGTTACACTGCATGTTGACTAAAATTGGAGCACAGCTTTTTAAAAAAAAACTAAGAAAACTTTACCTTGTCTTATATTAATTTATCATTTGACTGCATTTCCAACGTTATTCACAAACCCTCCAATTTGTCATCACATCTGCGAGTCAGGGCTGAGATAACCTGGTGATGCTGATTTACACGCCTCTCCCTCCCAGGTTGGTGGTTGGGCAGTGGGAACGCCAGTCATTATCCAGTCTCCCCACCCCCATCTCTCCTGCTCAGAAATGACAACAGAGCAGCTTCCTCAGAAATGACCACCCAGGAATGAACTGACCAGATACGAAGTCGTTATTTTGTAGCGAGTAGTGTACTGCATCTTCCTAAGAAGGGGCTACAGCCGCAGTACAGAGGGACCAGCTCCCACCCCCAACCAAACCCGATTAAACTGCAGGTTCATTCTCATTCACTTCCTACTTCTTCTCAATCGGGAGTGTACACTCTGACACACTTCTAGCTAATTTATTTTAGAAAAGTAACACTGACTCGGTTTAAAACATTACATTACATATTAACTTAATCTAATACCACACTATCTCTACAAACTGGAATTTGAAAAAGTCCAATTTAAATAATAAATAGACCTCGCCCCCTCTAATCTCCCTCTGGTACAACCAGACTCTAATAACATCGTCTCCTGCTCAATTCAAACCAGGAATTAGATATTACGATGTTTAGATTAGGGTTTTAGCCCAGTTTCAGGGTGACATTGTGACAGTTCAGGAGCTGGAGAAACGGCTTCACTCCAGGCCATTGTAACCATGGGGACAGTTCTTTAAACACATTTCCCCCCACCCCCTGAGTCCCCTCCACCCACTGTGGGAGACAGTACAGCCTCCACAAATATTCACTGTAAGACAATATAATTGAGGCTGAAAGGTAAACCACTCACAGAGCGCCAATCGCATCGACATGGTGTGAAGAGGCAGCGTTTAAAATGAATGAATAATTCCCCTTCCCAGTAAGGCAGTGGGAAATGACTCAGCGTTCTGTGTTTAGGAAACTGCACTCTGTTGCTGAACTAAAGGGACGGCGGAGACACAGCGACGTGCATTCTTCCCGGTACACAAAGTGTTAAAAGGGAAAACAGTTTTCAGTTAGGAAACAAGGGACTTATTTCGTCAATCTATTTTTTAAAAAAAAAACCCCTCAGTTCCATTGCGACATTCAAGTATTCCTGCAATGATGCAAGCTCCAATCTTTTTTTTACTCATTCACGCGATGTGGGTGTTGCTGGCCAGGCAGCATTTATTGCCCATCCCTAATTGCCCAGAGGGCAGTTAAGAGTCAACCACATTGCTGTGGGTCTGGAGTCACATGTAGGCCAGACCAGGTAAGGATGGCAGTTTCCTTCCCTAAAGGACATTAGTGAACCAGATGGGTTTTTCCAACCATCGACAACGGTTTCATGATCGTCATTTGACTCTTAATTCTAGATTTTATTTTATTGAAATTCTACCATCTGCCATGGTGTCGAACCCAGGTGCCCAGAATGTTGACTGGGTCTCTGGATTAATAGTCTAATAATAATACAACTATAGTGGCTGTTGCATCTCCACTGCTGCGTGAAAACAAAATTGTCAAATTTAGTAAAATATCGATTTTTGGATTCTAATTTTCATTTTAAAGTCTTGTGGACACAAATCCTTGCTGAAAGAACAAAAAAAAAACACACACAAACACAAGATGCCCAAGAGTATGAATAATAACTGCTTTATTTTGTTTGGGCTGATAGTTACCGCATTTCCACTGCCACTGGACTTGAAACATTAACTCTAATTTTCTCTCTCCATAGATACTTCTAGACCTGCTGAGTTTTTCTAGTCTTTCTGTTTTTGTTTGTTTTCTCTCTTGTTACTTGTCCCTTGCAGACCTGAGACTGTAACATAAAAACTTGGTGTCGTAAATCACTCAACTTCTGCACTCCTGTAGATCTTAACACTGTCTTTCTTGAAACTTTCCATCTTGATTCACACCTGCCACTTTACCACAGTGAATTTTGTTTTCAGTTGTCAGGGTTACCGACATGAGTCAGCTGTGTCTGAGTTTTCACCACATTCTCATTCCTCCCATCTCCAAATCGCTTTATTACTAAAGAGTTCAATTACTTTTTCTGTTGAGTTGCTTGCTGGAAATTAATCTTGACTTCCTGGAGATTTGGCACACCCTCAGGAACATTTCCCGCAATGAGTGGATCGCTCATTCTGAAACTGCCATAACAGGAAATGAATTCATAAGGCCATGAAACATTGAGCAGAAGTAGGCCGTTCAGCTCTGCCATTCAATGAGATTGTCGTTAATCTGATATGATTTGGAACTCACCACCTACAGGGTGGAAGTGGAGGTGATTGATAATTTTAAAAGGAAATTAAATTGTCATTTGAAAGAAATTAACTAAAAGGCTCGTTTGAAGAGTTGGTGCTGCCGTGATGGGCTTAATGGCCTCCTACACTACATCAATTCTGTGATAACAGAGCAGTGGAAAGGATCTGAAAAGAAACTGCTCTAAGGAGAGCCCACAAGCTCACAATAGATCAACTAACTTGATTGAGTTTTTTGAAGAAGTGAAAAAGAGGATTGATGAGGCCAGAGCAGTGGACGTGATCTATATGGACTTCAGTAAAGTGTTCGGCAAGTTTCCTCATGGTACACTGGTTAGCAACGTTAGATCACATGGAATACAGGGGGACCTGGCCATTTGGATACAAAACTCACTCAAAAGTGGAAGACAAAGGGTGGTGGTGGAGTGTTGCTTTTCAGACTGGAGACCTGTAATCAGCGGAGTGTCACAAGGTTCGGTGCTGGCTCCACTGCTTGAATGAATGAATGAATTCTGCAGGACTGTTCTTTTCATGACATTCTTGTCTGCTCCTCCATGATCACGGACACTTCCTCATTCTCCCATGGCATTGTCCCATATAATCACAGAAGATGTAACACTTGACCATTAAACTTCCTCCCTCCTCACTGTCCAAAGCTCCAAACACACCTTCCAGATGAAGCAGTGCTACTTTCAATCTATTCTTCAGATTACAGGACTGTGACCTGTGGTTTGCTACAAGGTTCGGTGCTGGGTCCACCGCTTTTCATCATTTATGTAAATGATTTGGATGTGAACATAGGAGGTATGGTTAGTAAGTTTGCAGATGACACCAAAATTGGAGGTGTAGTTGACAGCAAAGAAGCTTACCACAGAGTACAGTGAGATCTTGATCACATGGGCCAATGGGCCAAGGAGTGGTAGATGGAGTTTAATTTAGATAAATGTGAGCTGCTGCATTTTGGAAAGGCAGATCAGGGCAGGACTTATACACTTCATGGTAAGGCCCTGGCGAGTGTTGCTGAACAAAGAGACCTTGGAGTGCAGGTTCATAGTTCTTGAAAGTGGAGCTGCATGTAGATAGGATAGTGAAGAAGGCATTTGGTATGCTTGCCTTTATTGATCAGTGCATTGAGTATAGGAGTTGGAAGGTCATGTTGTAGCTGTACAGGACATTGGTTACACCACTTTTGGAATACTGCATGCAATTCTGGTCTCCCTGCTATAGGAAGGATGTTGTGAAACTTGAAAGGGATCAGAAAAGATTTACAAGGATGTTGCCAGGGTTGGTGGGTTTGACCTATAGGGAGAGGCTGAATAAGCTGGGGCTATTTTCCCTAGAGCATCAGAGGCTGAGGGGTAACATTATAGAAGTTTATAAAATCATAAGGGGCATGGATAGGGGAAATAGACAAGGTCTTTTCCCCAGGATGAGGGAGTCCAAAACTAGAGGACATAGGTTTAACGTGAGAGGGGGAAGATTTAAAGGGATCTAAGGGGCAACTTTTTTACGCAGAGGGTGATGCATGTATGGAACGAGCTGCCAGACGAAGTGGTGGAGGCTGGTACAATGCCAACATTTAAAAGGCATCTGGATGGCATCTGGTACATGAACAGGAAGGGTTTAGAGACATATGGGCCAGTTGCTGGCAAATGGGACTAGATCAGTTTAGGATATCTGGTCAACATGGGCAAGTTGGACTGAAGGTAACACAATGTGGAGCTGGAGGAACACAGCAGGCCAGGCAGCATCAAAGGAACAGGAAAGTCCCGAAGGGTTCCGACCTGAAATGTCAGCTTTCCTGCTCCTCTGATGCTGCCTGACCTGCTGTGTTCCTCCAGCTCCACACTGTGTTATCTCTGACTCCAGCATCGGCAGTTTTTACTATCTCTAAGTTGGACTGAAGGGTCTGATTCCATGCTGTATAGCTGTATAGCTCTATGACTCCATGACTGTAAAAGGCCTCAATCTGTGCTGTAAAGACTCTATTCCACGTCAAACATGTCACCGCATAAGAACCACACACCAAGGTGAAGATTGATATGTATTGGCTTGTCTATGTTGTTACTTACTAAATCATTTAATTTCTTTATTAGAGAATTTTTGTATTCCAAGAACATTCTATCATGGAGAACTCGATGTAAAAAAAAACAAACTACATTTAACAAGGAGTGTTAAACAGTATTTGATCCCACGAATTAGTGCATTCATCAAAAGATTAAAACAAGAAATCAGTGAAATACTGTCAGAATGCCAGAGAACCCTGCACATTGTCAGCATTGTAATACTGACAGAGCTCTGCAACAAAACTTACAGGATTCCTACCCAAGGATCTTATCCAATCAATGTTCATTAAGGAAACCTAAAGGATCGAGTGTTCAGAGCACAGGACAGTAAATCTTATGAGCCACATGATCAAACTTACTTTAATCACTGTTTTGAAAAAAAAAATAGCTGGCCTATACGATAAATGATAGCCAGTCAAAAAAGGAACAAAAGCTTGCATCTTTAACTTGAGTTGATTTTGAAAGATGTAGCTGTATCTGGATGGTTCATTAACTGTAAGAAGGCATTTGACAGAGAGTAATGGAGTGCCTCTACAAACTAGAAATTGATAGAAATTATAAAAGGATACAAAACAGAATCAATGCTGGCATCAATGATGGAATTTTACAGCGGCCTGTCAGACAGCTTGGTAACCAAAAGTGGAGAGCAGAGATATGTTATGGTCCCAATTCTGTTCAACCTGTTCACTGAAGCCACCTTCAGAGACATGGAAGATCTACTAGTTTGTAACATTGGGTGGTTAACATTGACAACTTTAAGATACAAAAATGATTACAGACTAAAGAAATTGCAAACAAAATGAAGGCAAGAAATGTGACTGTCGAATTAAGAAAGAATGTAAAGACGATAAGCAATGGTGATAAGCAGAGAACTAACCCCAGAAGTGTCATAGCGTCACACAGCACGGAAACAGACCCTTCGGTCCAACCAGTCCATGCTGAGCATAATCCCAAACTAAACTGGTCCCACCTGCCTGCTCTTGGCCCATATCCCTCCAAACCTTTCCTGTTCATATATCCATCCAAATGTCTTTTAAACATTGTAATTGTACCCGCATCCACCACTTCATCAGGAAGTCCATTCCACATGCGAGCCACCCTCTATGTCAAAAATTTGCCTCCTTTGTCTTTAAATCTTTCTCCTCTCACTTTAAAAATGTGCCCCCTAGACCTGAAATTCCCCATCTTAGGGAAAAGACAAATACCATCACCTCTATCTATATCTCTCATTATTTTCTAAACTTCTATCAGGTCAGCTCTCATCTTCCTACGCTTCAATGAAAAAAATTCCAGCCTTTCCATATAAGTCAAACCTTCCATACCCGGCAACATCCTAGTAAGTCTCTTCTGAACCCTCTCCAGCTTTATAATATTCTTCCTATAGCTGGATGACCAGAACTGGACACAGTGTCCCAGAAGAGGTCTCACCAGTGTCCTGTACAACCTCAACATAACGTGCCAACTCCTATTCTCAAAGGACTGAGCGATGAAGGCAAGCATGCCAAACACCTTTTTAACCATCCTGTCTATATATGACACAAACTTTAAAGAATTATGTATCGGCACTCCTCGGTTCTTCTGTTCTACAATAGTTCTACAACAGTTCTCTGTTCCACGACAAGTGAAAATTAAAGTAAACCGATAAGTCCTGGAACAAGTGGAAAGTTTCACATGCCT